TTGTTTCATTTCAAAAGTTTCGTTACTGCTGTATTTTATTTGGATTCAATTTTTCTTTTCAAGTTTTCATAGAAGATTCATTTTCGCTTCATTTTCGAACAATTTCCAAATTTTATCAAATCAAAAAGCTAAAAACATTTGATTATTTCCATCAAATAAAAATATTCAAATAGAATTTTATCAATCACAAAATACTTTATTTTCTTCTCTTTCATAAAATTCAAGAGAAGATGAAGACAATTTAATGTTTATTTGTTGGAATCTTTCGATTAAAATCATCAAATTAAATTCAATTTTCAAGAAAAAAGTCTCAAAAGACTTTTCTTCGTTCTTTTATTCAATAAGAAACTTTTTTCTTTTTCATAAAATCAAAATTTCATTCACAATCATATTTCAAATTTTTGAATTCGATGATTAAAATAGTCAGTAACGTAAAGGTTTCCTTCATCATCAAAAGATAAATCACGAGGAAGATTCAACTGATTTGATTGATTTCCTTCACCATTTCCACCAACAATAATTTCACCTTCTTCTTTTCCTTCACTCCAGCGCATTACACGATGATTATAAAAATCTGCTACATAGATTCGACCAAAATCATCAACAATGAGTCCTTGAGGACAAGACAACTGATTAAGATTTCTTCCATGACCATTTCCTCCAGCCACAATTGTTCCCGCTTTTGCATCTTTTCTCCATTTCATCACACGATTATTGTGATAATCTGACACATAAACAGATTGATTTTCATCAACAAAAAGAAAAGTAGGATTCTTGAGCTGATTAAGTTGATTTCCTTGTCCATTTCCACCTGCCACTACAATTCTTTCGTCGTTGTATTCTCCCATTTTCCATCGTTTCACTGCATTCTCCAACCAATCAGAACAATAAAGAAATCCATGTTTATCCATTGCCAAACCCCAACACAAAATACTGTCAATAAGAATTTGTTGCTTTTGATTCATCCATTGGATCACTCGGGCGTTCCCAACATCAGCAATGATGATCGAATGATTTTGTTGATCAACAATCACATTTGATGGATAATTTAATTGATCCATTCGATTTCCTTGCCCATTTCCGCCTGCAATGATTTGTCCTTGCTTTGCATTATATTTCCATTCAACAATACGATGATTATAGTAATCAGCAATAGAAATATTTTTGTTTTTATCAATAAAGATTCCTGCAAGGCCCTTGAGTTGATTTAATTCTTCTCCTCTCCCATTCCCACCAGCCACAGTGATAGCATATTGTTTCCATTTGGTGAATTTTGGTTCTAGAAAATAATCAAAATAAAAGATTTTGATGAAAAGAAGAAGAAGAAAATGGAAGATCAATTTTTAATGAAACTTTGATTTCATTTGTTTTGTTTTTTGTAACTTTCGAAAGAAAATTTAAAAAACTTCAATCTTTTGAGATTCTTTCTATTTCATTAGTTCCTATAGAAAATGCAAAATTAGACCTTCAAGGTATTTGAACAATTGGAAAAATATTCTTTCATAGATTATATATTTTCGAATGCACTTCTTTCTTATTAATTCATCGTCAATATAAACAGAAAAATAAAATCGGATTTTTTTCATTGAGGTATTAGACAAATATCTTTTTTAATTATGATGAAGAAAAGAAAAGAAAAATATATATTTTATTTTTTCTAATTTATTAGAAATACTACTATGAAATATGAAAAGTGATAAAGGTCTAACAATATATCTTGAATAATTCAATTTCGTTTTTATTAATCAAAAAAAGCTTACTTTTTGATGAAATAATGGAAATATCACTGATAAATGTTTGTGAGTTTTGTTGAATAGAAATATTTGATGGCTTATTAAATTCTTCTGTAATTTCTACTAATTGATTTCTTAAATCATTTAAACTAATTTCATTAAAGTCATTTTCTTTCTGAAGTTGTTGTATTTGTTTATTTAAGTCATTAAATTCGTGTTCAATATTATTAATAAATGTTTGTGATGATTTAATAACAAGTTCTCTACATTCTTCTGCTTTTTGTTGAATTATTTCAATTGAATTTATTTCCCATTGGTTAATTTGATTTACTAAAGAAAGATCATGTGGATTTTGTTTTTGTTCATTAATTGTTTGTTTAAATTTATTATAATGATCAATAATATGATTTAATTCTTCATTTAATCTTTGTTGATGTTCTGGTATATGTGTAGCACAAAATCTTTTTGAACATCCTTCGCAAGTATATGTATTGTTTTCTCTATGACATGTAAAACATTTTCTTTTATTGTTTGCCATGTGTTTGAATAGATGTCTATAGAAGAAATGAATATATCTATTTATCTACTTTTTTAGATGTAAACTTAAGAAAGTGTCTATGTAGACACGTATGTATGGCTAGTCGACTATGTACACACGAGTGTATGTAGCTGGCTAACTATTTACACATCTAGAAATAACCATTTTACTATAGTAAATATAAAATCATACTATATTATCTTATATGTGTTTCTTTATTAATATAAAAGCTAAATGTCTTATGTTTTCAATAATTTTATTTAACTCTTTATTATACACGTTGTATTTTAAAATAAAATTCTCAATGTATTCGAATCGAATCACTATGATAGCATATATACATATACGTTATATTTTGATATGAAAACGACAGGAGAATTCTTTCATTGATTAGTCATTATATTTCGTTAGAGAATAAAAACATGAAAAAAATCGCATTAAAATGATGAAATAGACGTTGTTTTTTATGTATTTCCTCAACTGGGAACATATTCGTCTTATCAATATTATCCCCTGTAAATTTCTCGTTAACTAATCGTAATTAGTATTTATTTAATAACTTAATTATCTCATCGGTATATAAAAGATGTACGATTGAACTACGTCTATGCTTTATGTAAAAGAGACGCGCAGTTTGTATTCATTGAATTGATTCTTGTAAAATAATATGATCTTTTGACAGCCGTGTGATAGTGTGAATCACTTGTGCTGGATATTTCTCTATCTTCTATTCTATTTATCGTAAGATAACAAATACGGTATATGTATCTATTTCTTTTCTTTTCTTTTCTCAACCTTCAGATCTTTTTCGTTCATTTATTTTCCATGTAATATTCTTTCATACTATTGTACGTGTCACGCACATTCGAGTATAGATGTTAGATAACTAATCAATTAACAAACTCCTCATTAATATATCTTCAGTGATTTATTAGAGCTGGAAGTGAGCGAACGAATTGTTACCAACTAAGAACAGTTCTAGTTGGAAATAACCCTGTTCGATGATTTGATGAAAATTTGAATTTAAAAAATGTCATTTTGTTTCGTGTCTTTACATGCAAGTCATCATCTTTTGTCACCTTTTAATTTCCTGAGCAGTTAATGCGTCAATTTGTAAATTCTTCCTTGAATTATTCTCAACCATTAAACTGCTTTGTAAATAAAAATCTTCATCTTGATCTATTTTTATGGATGAAGAATTACTAAGAATGCGAATAAATCCTTAAATTTAAGCAAGCTAACAATATGCACTATTTTGTTGTAGTAGATGTGGAGAATGAATATAAGATAGACTTTTTAATACTATAAATGAGATTATATGAAAGTGGTTCATTCGATTGATAAACTGTTATACAGAAAAATGACGTAATCAAGAGAAGAGAGAAGCATTAATACTAGATATTTTTCATTTATTTAACATATATAGATCTATACCTACAACTTTACCCTCTAGATGGGTTGATATACCGAATATTTCATCCATTCAACTGTATCATTATGTTCAATTTCATCATCATACTCATTCCTCTCGTTCTCAAAATAATTATTGTATATTACTCTTTTTCATTCATTTTTAATATTATTTTAAAATATTTATAACTTACCTAAATGAAACTATTACAAAGAATTGAATTTCTAAACTTGTAATGTTTTGTCATTATTTCGATATAAATAAGAATTCCTTTTTCATCAAATAAATTTTTCGACACAAGAAAATCTATCAGAAATAAACATAATGATTTGATTGAAAAAGAATAATGATATCGAAATAAATAAAAAAGATATAGTCGAATTGAATGATAAAAACGAAAGTATTATATATAGAGTGATATTTCAAAAGTTATTTTGATATATTTCAGTATAGATACATAATAAAAGTATTTCTCATCATATTAAACATACTAAAACATGTTTGAAAAGATTTTATATTGTTTAAAATGAATTCTTTCATAGAAGTTCTATAAAAATTTTAATGTGGCACATCTTTGAAATAAATTTTAGCCATTATCATATATATATATATATATGTGAAAATTAAATGTTTGTTTGAATAAACTGTTTATAACTTTTAGATCAAAAATATTTTTATAAGAAATACAAAACTAAATTGATTTCTTCTGCTGATAAAATCTGCACTTTTGCTGACCAAAGAATCTGATTAAAAACTATGGACTTTTTCCCATTTTAGAAATAGTATAAATGAATAACTAATTCTCAGATTAATTATTAACCCTGAAAATACATTTATTTTATATTGTTTTTTGAGTGCAGAAACATTCCAAAGAATAAAACTACAATAAATTGCAACTGAAGTAAAAACTATCAATATCTACCATAAGATTCATCATAATCGAGAAAGTTAGATTGAATATCCATCGATTCGTGTGGATGAGAGTAAGTGCTTTCTTTTCACTGAAAATCTAACATCATTTACTTGAACTCAAAACAAAAAAATATTTGTAGTTTAATCCTCAGTTTATATTCTTTTTCTGTTGAATACTCTGTCAAAAGTGATGTTCATTGGATTATTTACGAGATTATTCTGTTTTCAAAGAAGAAATAAGATACAACTATTTACAGATACATGTGAATTGTAATATTATAGTCGAGATATGATAGATGATATCATATAGTTGGCTGGTATATCGTTTCACTAAGACAAACTGAAGTGATGATAAGGAACTGTATATGCACGTTTTCTTTAAATATCCTGACCCGATTCAATATCAATCCGATTTTCAAGGAAAATTATGATGTTCTGTAATTGATCTCTGATGAAAAATTTCATAAGAACAACTTTGAACATTTTTTATTTGTATATAAAACAAACTGAACACGAATGTTTTGTAATTAATATAAAATTTTTATGTTGCTGTTTCGAGTGAACTGGGTTGATTAGATATAAGCAAGGTTTTTCTGAAAAATAAAAAGAGTTTTTGTGGAATGATATTGTGATTGATTGATTTCTGGAGCAATGATCAGATTAAAATGTTCACTTTTAAACCTACTCTTCATTTATTTGTGTTGAGAGTTCATTAATTTTATCAATAACTGTCTGTTTTTGGTCAAATGAATAAGACTGAGATTGCTCATAGATTGTTAGTATTCGTTGATAATATTTTAAAGCTATTTGAAGTTCATTAAGATGTTCATAACATTGAGCGATATTTGATAAACTGTTGATAATATCTTCATGATCTGGTGAGAGAACTTTTTCGATGATTGAATAATATTTCATTTCATATATTAATGATAATTGATATTCATATCGAGTTCGTTGAACTTCAGCAAGATCTGAAAGAGTAGTTGCAATGGATAAATGTTCTGGAGAGAGACTAGCTTCTTGGATGTATAAACATTGTTGAAGATATTCAATAGCACGATGATAACATCGTTTTTCATTCCAAACCCATGCAATCCATTGGAGACTTTTGACAAGTTCAGAGTGATTAAGTGGACCATATTCTTGAAGTAAAGTAACTGCTCGAGAGAAATCATCAAGAGCTTCATCAAAATTGCGTTGCTTCACTTTTATTCGACCAATATCCATTAGAATATTCACAACGGCTGTATACGAAGATGGTAAATGTTTTTCTTGAATTGTCAATGCTCGATTTTGAAAATCTAATGCGTCATCGAATTTTTCTTGTGCACTTAGAACATCCCCAATCCGAATAAAATTCGAAGCTAATTGAATATGATTAGATGAATAACATTTTTCATTGATGTCGAGTGCTTGTTGGTAATACTCGAGAGCTTGATCGTATTGGCATTGATTTTTATAAATTTTACCAATAAACTGAAGAGTAGTAATAATCGAAGAATGACCCAATGGAAAACATTTCTGTTGAATTGTTAATGCTTGTTGATGAAATTGAATTGCTTGAGTAAATTCTTTTTTCTTTTCCATTAAATGTCCCATCTTATTGAAACTATATGAAATGCTGACATGATCTGATGACAAATTATTCTGTTCAATTGTTAATATTCGCTGAGAGAAGACAAGAGCTTCATCTACTTTTTCTTGAATAGATAAATTGTGACTAATGTTCGCTAGTGTATCAATTAATTCAATATGTTCAGGTGAATAAAAATCTTCTTGCATTTTTAATGCTCGATTATATATTTCCAAGGCTTCATCAAATTTCATTTGTTTCTCTAAAACAATTCCAATCAAGCTGAGATTGTTAGCGATATAAGCATAGTAGGATGGATAAGATTTTTCTAACATAGTTAGAGATTTCCGATAAAAATCCAGTGCTTGCTCAGAATTTTCTTCCCCATCTAATAATATATCACCAACATTAATCAAAGCATAAACAATGTCTATATGATCAGATGAATACAACTGGATAAATAATGCTAATACTTGTTGATATAATTGTAAAGATTCCTCGTACATTTCTTATCCATATCTAATATGTGAGATATTTATCAAAGCGTAAAGGACATCGGGATGACTTGATGAGCGCAAATTTTTCATTATTGTTAACGCTTGTTCTTGTTGATTGAGATTTAGAGCTTCTTCAATGATTTCTTGTTGATACAGAATATAACCAGTACGATAAAGTAAAAGAGCTATATATGTATGATTTGATTGATAATATTCTTTGCAGATGGACATTGCACGTTTTTGATACTCCAATGCTTGATCAAACTTTTTTTGATCAATTAATATATCAGAAATATTGTCTACATTGATGGCAATATCAACTTGAAAATGTTCATAATATTCCTCTCGAATTTCTAATGCTTGTTGATGAAAATCGTATGCTTCTTCATATTTGCCTTGTGAATATAATACTTTACCAATAGCAGAAACAATTAACGCCGAATCTTGAAAATTAATTTTATTACTTTTAATCGCTCGATCATAACATAATCGTGCTTCATTCCATTGTCCAATTTCATAAAAAGTCTGACCAATAAAATATTCAATCCATGGTAAATCTTGTTCATTTGAATGAATTAATAAATATTGAAGATATTTTCTTGCTTCATTCCACTCATTCATATCACACATTAATTGACTAAAAATAATTGGAATACTTAAGTTTTCTATTTGTCGACGTGTATTAGTGAGGTATTTTTCTTTAATCATCTGTCCATAATTAACTACAGTTAGTTGGATAAGAATTGTTTGATCATTTTCTTCAATATTTTCCAATTGAAATGTTGTATTCAAATCAAATAAAACTTCATTTTTATTCTGATATTCTTTTAGATTACATTTGATTTCCAAGTGAACATCGATTAAATGCGATCGTTGTGGTAATACAGTATCCTTCTTTACTAATAGAAATCCATTCATCGATATTATTTGTCCTTGTTTCTGTTTGAAATGATTTAATTCATGTTTTGATAATTTTATTTGTTGATGAATAACAAAATTTTCTGTGTGACGTTCACGAGTTAAATTTTCGATAAGATCAACAAGAAAATATCTTAATTGATAAAGTTGATCAATGTCTTTTCTTTGTAATGATTTAGTTATTAATTTTCGAAGAAATGAGTTATTTAAATACCATTGAATAGCATCCTTGGATTGATATGATTTTTCATCAGCATAAAGACGAAATATATTCATCATATCTTCTTTTGCTTGGTCATCGTGAGGAAAATATGAAATAGCATCATGAAATAATTGCATCCAAAGAAAATCACTTGATTGTTTTGATAAATCTCTTTTAGAGAAATTTGTTTGATCGTAAAATGTCCATTGAAAAAATTGTTTAGCTATTAAATTAATTTGTTCTTCATGAGCTGAATAGAAAAAATCCAATCGATGATAAACTCCAATTATATTTAATTGTTCATGAAATAAATATTTAAAATCTTCAATTTTTGTATAGAAGATAAAGATTGAATGTACTTGTTGAAAGATATCAATATGCGATACTAATTCACAAACATAAGAATCAAAAATAACCAAGAGAATTTTTTCATTTTTAATTGATTGAATGAAAGTAATACATAATTCCAATTCTGTATGAAAAACAACATGATGATTCATTTGATTTAATTGCTTCTTCATATCTTCGATTTGATTATTTGGATGAAAACAAATAATAATGATTTGATCATCATTGTCGTCTTCTGAAAATGATCTTTTGACGATCATTGGAATTTCATTTGACAATGTTCTTGTTCTCATTTTTTGTTTCAAAGTAATTGATATTGTTGTCTTTTACGTGATTGAGAAAAAATAATCAACTGATATTGTTTTTTTCTAAATAACCATACAATGACGCATGTAAAAGAACGATTGAAATTTCCTCAGGTAAACAAAAAAACCTAAAGGAAGTATGACATGTGCTCGGTGGGTTTTTTTTCTTTCGTATTAGCCATCAACTAATTTATTTGGACGATTTATTCAAGCGTGACTCTCTATCAGAAGACTCAGTTTTGTTTGTAATAATCACGAATTAAATCTATGAATATTTATCGAATTTTCGAGCAAAGTAATATTCTATCATATACTTATTTCTTATTGGTTTACAATAAAATTGTACCATATCGTTTTCTATATGAGAATGTGGATGTAAAGACAAAACTTACTGTATCCACATCCACACTCTCAAATTGATTTGGCAAAATGAAATCAATAAAAAGAAATTTGAAAATAAATCAATGAACATTTTCATTTAGATGAAAACCAAAAACAAGAATTACGGAAGAAAAACGAACAAACGTTAAAAAATGATCGAAAGTTTAAACTTGAGTTTTGATCAAATGAAAATTTTTGTTTTTATTTATATGAGAAAATCTAAATTATAGAGCTTACATGACTCCACGAACTCTGTTTCTATAATTTCTTTTTTGAAGAAAAATCGAAAGGACTTTCCAATTAATTTTGTTTTTCTTCTACATACATAATACATCATAACAACATACAAATGAAATAAAACTAATTCAAACATTTACTGGATGGATATTTTTCATTGGGAAAAAATAGTCCGTCAACGTCTTGTTATGATAAACAATTATTTGAACAACGTTAGAATACTACAAAACTTTAATCTAGTAATTTTAACAGCCACAAATAATCATATCAAACCTTTGGTTCTCTTGTCTAATCAAAAAGCTCATCTGATTATTCTTCGTTTAGATATTAAAGAGCGACTTTATTCTAGTGTGAATGATGCAATAGTTCACTAATTTATTGTATAATCTGTGAAATGCATTTGAAGTATTTAGATTCGAATAAATAAATAAATTCCAATTGAACTATTTAGATTTATAGAGAAAATTTTATCTACAACGAAATGCTGATTATATTTTCTTTTCAAATTGAATTTTGTTTGATTGATCGTTTTTGATGTTTTTCATCCAGTATAAAACTCAAAAGTTCTATTTATAAATATATTTGTCCTCAACTAACATTTGAACACGTAGGAAAATTATATTTCCGAATGAATAAATTTTGTTTGAAAATAAAAAAAAAGTAGTGACTACTTTTTTGATTAAATTAATTAAATGAATTGAGAAGAAAAATATTAGGTTTATCGATACTATCTACGACTCCTGCCTACGTTCGATGCGTCCGCGGGAAGATAAATATCGATGACTTATGTCTGTATAAGAATTCTATCTCTCACGAACTAAAATCCTACCTGTAGTTGTATTATTCTCGATAAGGGAATAAAGTATTCGTTGTACTCTTAAGTTTGTGCAAGGGAGGGGGGGGGGGGGGGTCTTATAATGATGATGATCACTTGGTAAGTTTTGTAATGAAAAAGGTTTTTAGCTGTTTTATCTATTTTATTTTATTTCAACCAAAATAGGTTGATTTCAAAAATATGTATGTATATATATTTATATATATATAGTAAAAAATAAAGGAAAGGTAATGAATAGAAATGAGAAAATAAAAAAGAAGATAAAGCTAACAATTCTCTGCAATGAGAAAAATCCTCACTCTATATATATAAAGAGAGAATGAATGAACAAAATGAAAACCTCTACTCGGAACACAAAAACAAGAACTAAAGTTAGCGACAACGTAGTGTCACCAGTTGACGCTAACAAAAAAGATTCGCTACATTGTAAATAGAAAAAAAAACGAGAGAGGCAGAAAAACAGAAAAAAAGATGTTTATTTATCGGAAAAAAACATATATTTTGTCGTTGTACATGATATATTCAAACTTTGAAAGGATATTTTTTCTTACTTTGCTTTTCAACAAAATATTAGAGGAAAGAAAAGACGTCACCAACTTAGTTTTTCTAATCTAATCATGGAGATGTTGTTTTCTATTTACAAAAGAAGTTAACTTTTTCTTGCCATAATTATGTATTTAGATGTATTTTTTTTGTGAAACAACATCGTTTGTATTATTATGGTTATAACTGACAAATGTCTTCTGAAGCTGTCTATTTCCATCGTTTATTTTTTGAAGAAAAATCAAAAAGATTTTCCAACTAATTTTTTTATTCTTTTCCATACAAAAAACATCATAGCAACATATTAATGAAAGAAAAATAACGGCAAAACATTTACTGGATGAATAGTTTTCATTGAGAAAAAGGACGTTTGAATGTGTTGTTATGATAAACAATTATTTAACTTATTTTAGAATACTAAAAAAAACTGTCTGGTTTGTTCTCAGTTCACACTATTGTATGTAGACATCAATCGTAATTCTCACATTGATGAGCAAAAATGTGATTATCTATTGAGTTACAAGTCATAAAATTCTTCTATCAATCAAAAACGCAAGAATAGAAACGATACGATAGAAAAATAAATGCGAGCTTTTTTAAATTTTGTTATACTGTATGTTATAGGCGCTTGTAAAATCCAAATGAAGTGAGTTTGAGTTAAGAAAACTGTGTAGCTTACTTTGGTTCTCTTGCCTAATCAAACAGCTCCTCTGATCATTCTCTATTTAGATACTAATGATCGACTTCATTCATTTACTATAGAACTTAAAGGGTCTCTTTATGAATATATTTGTTCTCAAATAACATTTAAACACAGGTATATCATCTTTCTGAATGAATAATATTTTGTCAAAATAAAAAATAATCAGGACCCAGATCGATGGGTGGGTATGAAAGAAAAACAGCATTCACACTCATACTCAAGCATAATCGTTGATTGTCAATCCGCTGTTATTAAAATATAAAAGTAGTGAAATAAATCTTTACACGTTGAAAAAAAAACATCTATTTTGTAGTTATGTATGATACATTCAAATATTGAAAGAAGGTAAAGACGTCATCAACTGTGTTTAGCAATTTTTCTAATGTAATTATGGAGATGCCGTTTTCCGTCTATAGAAAGTTTGCACATATTATCATCATTGTTTTACTCAATACACATGTACTTTTATAGAGTAATGTCCTTTTTTCTTTTTGTAATTACATCAAACCTAGATCTTTCCAGAAGTTGTCTGTTTCTATCGTTTCTTTTAAAAATTAATCAGAAAGGTTGTCCAACTAACTTCGTCTTTTGCTTCATACATTATATATCACAGCAGCATATAAACGAAGGAAAAGAAAAGAAAAGAAAAGAAAAATAAAACAAGTTATTAGTTGATAAATGGTTTTCCTAGAGAAAATAAACAGTTTGGAATGTATTGTTATGGTTAGCAGTTATTATACTCATTTTAGAAAACTAAGAAAAACTGTATGTTTTTATTTATCTAATAAACAAGATGTTTTGTCTTTCGTTAATACTATCATCTCAAATACTCTTTCATCAATCAAAAATTGAAGAATAGAATACTTCGTGTTAGAGTCAATTGAAAAACCCAAATCCAATGCGTTTGAGTTTTGAGGATTATTCAGTTTTCTTTGTTTCTATATGAATTGCGTCAGAATTGATTGATATATTCTATAATCTATGAGATAAGTTTGTATGAATATCTAATTTATACATGAATACAATTAATTCAATTGTAATTAAATGGTTTTTATTTTTATAAGAAAAATTTCACTTGCGACTAAATCTTTATTATTTTCTTTTCAAATCTAATTTTATTGAGTCGATCGTTCAATACGCTTTTCATCTTTAGTCATTTTCCATACAACAAAAACTGTTCTGTTTGTGAATATATTTGTCTCCAAGTAACATATCAACAAAAAAAAATCGTCTTCTTGAGTGGATATGTGTTTTTACAAAATTAAATAAAAGTCATGACTAGTTTTCCATTAGCCGGATGAAATGAAATGAGAAAAAAAAGAAGAAAAAAAATAGTTTTTATCGCTCAACAGATTCTTTTTTTTTTCTTATTCTTAGTTAAATTCATTTCATCAACTTGCAATTTAGTCGGCAATGGCTTCAAGAAGAATTTGTTTATGGCTTGTATTTATGATTATTACACAATCGGCTGGAGAGGATATGCGATCAATTCGAATGTCTTCAATGCGGGGTTCGAAATTTCAATGCGGTAATACAACATGTTTACCGTTCGTTAACCTCATTACGTCAACTATTATGAAGTGTCAAATGGCTTGTTTAGCTCAAATTTATTGTAGAGCAGCCACATTTTATCGATCAACTTCTATTTGTGAATTATTTGCTCATACACTGAACCAAAATGAAAATATGCTGGCTGATTCGGATGCTACTAGTATGAATGTTATTAGTGGAACACGATCTCCACCTGGTTAGTATGAATATAGTAGATTTAGAAACAAACCATTTTAGAAGTATCGATGACGATTTATTTAGCGAAGGAAGGTCCTTAGGCGCGTTCCAGGCATTTTCATGATATTAAATGCGTTTTTTAAGTGTAGTATATCAATCTCAAGTATGAAACAAATAGATATTCTCACTGTACTAGTAAAAACTAATTGTAGTAAAAACATTTTCTAAGAAATCTAAACATATGTTTTTCTGTATAGCTTTTAAAAAATTGTCAAATCATAGAGCATTTTCACTATGAATATTGTACATTTCGTTTGAGTTATGTATTATGTGTATTTTTATTGAATCTTCCTAGATCTCGTGCAGGATTCATGTTTATTCTGTATTGCAAAGAGTATGAGTGTATATTCAATTCCATAGTCCTTTATATTTCAAATTGGACTTTAAACAACAACCGCGCTTCCCAATATATTTAGAGCGAGGATTATAGGGAACTAAAAAACCAATAGTCTTCACAATTAATAGGCTAATAAACATTACGTTTTCTTTTGATCGAATACTTGATTTGAATGAAATGAAATCGTCTATAATCAGCTATTTCCCTCAACATCCTTCCAGTCCTACGTGCCACTAAGAGGACTCGAAAGACTAGGAGGCAATGCAGGACTAAGAGGCCGCTTGCAACCAAAGTATCTTGAGTGACAAAAGGGTTTAGTGGGACTCAGAGGACTCGGGAGACCGAGAGCACTCGGGCGGCTGCGAAGACTCGGGGGACAATTGGAACTAAAAAACTAAAGAAATTAGGAGGCTAAGGGGAATAGGAACGCTTATAGGTCTCAGGAAACCAAGGAAAAATTAGAAGACGAATGAGCTCTCAAAACTAGTCCGTTGATATATTGATGACAAACGACAGTGTATAGAAGTCCACTCTACATAGCCAGAGTCAAAACATTTATTTCTATCCAAAATAAAATGATTTAGTACCAGAGATAATGAGTTTCCCTCTGTAAAGAAATTGGAATGTATATGAATTCTTGAAAGTTCTGATTGACTAATAAAGTCCTGGTATGTATGAATGACGCTATTTTATTCCTCTAAATGTTATGAGTCTCAGTTGTTTCTCGTAACCCGCGTAGTCCTGTTAGCCTGCGAAATACCCTGAATCCTTCTTGTCCTCGTAACCCTCTTAGTTCCCTCACGATGGCACCGCTTCAACTGATTCATCGCTTTCGGATCAGACTCTGTGCAAAAAGTAGACCCTAGTGAGGTGTGAGAAACCGCAAAAAGACATGAGCATATAGGCATTTCAGTGAAGTTTTAAGCAAAAGCATCGTGGCTACCAAAAAATCGACGGACGATATTTCTTCCTGAGATTTTACCCATAATAAAGCCTATTAGTGAGTAAAAAGTACTGAAAACTTAAGCTCAAAATAACGTTCTCTCCTCGAGATATTACAGTCCCAAAAAACAGAAAAGTTTAGAAACTTTCATGGAATATGAGAGATTTTAATGCCGTAATAATTCGAGAAGGAAACGTTGTTTTGTGCTGAAATTTTCAGTGTATTTTACTCTTCAATAAGCCTTACAATGGGCCAAATTTCAAGACGACATTTCGTCATTCAATTTTTTGATAGATACCATCCTTGAGCCTAAAATTCCAGTGAAATCCCTATAACTGTAAAAATAAGGCCTATGGGCCCTTATGCTTTTGGGATTTCTCATATTTCACTTGGTCTGCTCTATACACAGAGTCTAAATCCAAAAGCGATGAATCAGTTAAAGCGGTCCCTTCTTAAGTTCAGATAGAAATATAATACATCATTGTATGGAATTGTTATGCTAGAAATATAATTAAAGTAAAGATGTTAGAAGTTCAATAATAATATAAGCCGTCTAAATATGTACTCTTCTATTACAGTGCACTCACATATATAGTTGATATAATAGTTAGCCTAGAAAAGTTAGGAGTAAATCCGTATCCAATTTTTTAGTCTCATTCGAAACTCTCTTCTATAAAATAGAACCGACTACAACCTCAACTACATCATCAACAACAACCTCAACTACATCATCAACAACAACCTCAACTAC